ATCCTATAAGAACAGTGAATTTGATGTGAAATTAATATTGCTAATATTAGCTTGTTTCGTTAATTATCATTTGCAATTAGCATATACCATTCGCATTTACTGGGAATATTCCTATATATATATCTGAAGCAACAAATGTATGATATGTTTAAGTTGAAGAAGTATGAAGATTCAAATGTGACCGAAGCTAAACAAAATTTGTCAATATTCGCAACAAGAAAAGAAAAGTATTTTATCTAAAAGAAAAGGCTTCAAAAATATTTATCCTATAGACTTTTCGTAAAGTTGTTCCAATTCAAATCCTGAAAAAAGAGCTAAAGATATGTCATATTTTGAAATTTTAAAGATCCAAACCTTAGCCTTCTAGAGTTTTGCATGCTGGTCAATTCCTGGTTATATCTGTATGGGTCAAAATTAGATCTAGCTTGGCGAACGCAAACACACGAGCTGAGGTCGAGGTCGGAACCAAGCTTGGGTCATTGGCGAGGAGTCGCTCAAAGGGAGAGACCAGTGCCGAGGTCGAGTAAAGAGCAAACGGTTGCAGATGTTAGAATATTCCTAGGGTTATGAATAGGAATATTCTATTGAATATTCCCCCATATTGTACCTTTTTAGGATTTTTTTTATGAATATCCCTTATAAATAGGAAGCGAGAGGAAAGAAAAAGGGATTCGGAACTTTCATAAAGGAATATCTTGTAAAGAGTTGACTATCAAGAATATACAAAAAGCTTGTCTTGTCTCTTTTGTTCGATTCCCTCACACAACATTCCTCTTTAGTTCACAAGATCTAAGATCGCATAGTTCACTTTCATTGTCTGTTGTCACATGTTACCTCAGAGGAAGGAATCATCCACATCACCCAACATTTGGGTGATATATTCCTTCTTACTATATTAAATACAATTTATCACATTTATTACATGTTTACATTCTCTGGTTCATTCCTAGTCATTGAGCATTAAATTGGCATTTATTGACTTGAATACGATCCCATATCACTTAAGTTGTTTGATTTCGAATCTGGAATTTATTGCTTTTAACTTGGATTCACCCCTTGTCTATTCATTAAATTGGTTTAACAAAAAATGCTTAATACTTTTTTGGTCAAACAATTTGGCGCCGTCTGTGGGGAGGTCCTAGTTAAAAAGTTTAGTTTCTTCTAGATCTAAAAAAAAATTAAAACAAAAGCTCCATTTTTCTTGTTTGCACAAGCTAACAATGCCGGGAAAAGGAGAGGAAAGATTGAAAGCAGTGATGGCTGTCACCACCAACCTCCTTGGCACCATCAATGAGGTGGACAGGGAAGACGAGGAGAATGTGATGCCGAGCACCTCACCCAGACAAAGTGACTCTCCTCCTCCCCATGGTAGCATAACCGTTTCGCATGAGAAAGGAGCCTCCACATCCACGGCGGAAGAAGCACCGACCGCAGTGAAAAAATTACTGGAGGCGTGGCTGACAAGTACCCTAAGCAGCATACTCGACAAACCCGCTCAAGGGGCGAGTAGGAAAACCGCACGAGTCGACACCCCAATAGCCATCAATGAGCAACACGCTCCTCCCCCAACAGGTAATACTCATACCGCTGTTGATGCAGGTAATGACGCCCTCGTAGCCAACCTGAAGAAAATGGAAGAAATGGAGAATGAGAACAAAGCGCTCCGCGACCAAATGAAGGAACACCAAGAAAGGTTTGATAAGATACTAGGCGCCCCGAAACTCCTGCCAAAACGAGACGTCGGCCGATTTCGTGGAACATCCATACAGTGAGGAGGCAGCCCCACATGCCATGCCCAAAACTTTCAAAATGCTACCATATTTGAAAATATACGATGGCACAACGGACCTTGAAGACCATATCATTCATTACATCACGGCGGTAAAAGGCAACGACCTTTCAAAAGAATAGGTACCGTCGGTGCTGCTGAAGAAGTTTGGCAAAACCCTAACAGGGGAGCCTTAACATGGTACTCACAATTACCAGCACGTTCCATAATGACGTTCGAAGAAATGTCCAACAAGTTCGTCACCGCCCATGCCGAGGCCAAGAAAGAAGAAGCCATAGTGAATGACATATTCGCCGTCAAACAATCGCCTGGCAAAGGACTCAGGGACTTCCTCGCCCCATTCAACAGGGTAAGAATGAGCTTGCCAAATATATCAAAAGGGATGGCGGTAGTAGCCTTTCAAAATGGGTTAAACTGGAATGGGTCGAGGGCAACCAAAAAATTATAAATAGACTCATGAAATACCCTCCCACCACCTAGGAAGAAATTCACAACACTTACTATGCCGAGGTGAGAGCAGATGAGGACGAACTCAATGGTCCAACCCAACGGTTAACGACAGTCCAAATGGAATCAAGGAAAGATCATCGGAATGACAGCCGAAGAGATCGCGCAGGTCCATGCCTCAACCGGGAAAGGCATCAACCATACATCAGAACAACTGCCCCAATACCTCTCTACCAAGCCGAATGGCCATCCAGGCTACAAACGGGAACTCACCGAAATGAAAGAGGTATGCCTCCACTTTTATTTGCTCACAATTTTTATGTTTCTCCTTCAGAAATAGTTTACGCCCTGGAGAATCTCGGTCCTTAGGTGAAATGGCCACAAAAGATGAAGTCAGACCCAAACTCCAGAAAGTTAAATTCTTTCTACGAGTTCTATCAGGAATGAGGCCACAAGACCGAGGATTGCATAGCCCTACGACAAGAAGTAGTGAACATGCTCCACCGAGGACATTTAAAGGAGCTTATGAGCAATCAAGGGAGAGCCAATTTCTCCCGTGGACGAGAACCACATCAAGGCCCCCCAAAGCCACCCTTCCCTATTCGCACCATCCAAATGATCATCGGCGGAGGCGATGAAGCAACATTCAACCATGTGAAGTTCACCACCACACACAAATTGAAGCGATCGATCACCCATGAATAGTATGATGACCTCGAAGATAGTATCATCTTCGATAAGTCAGATACCCACATTGAACGAACCTCCGGAGAGATAACACTGCCAGTTGTGGCCAGAGGCGTCACCCTAGAAACAACATTCCATGTCATGAACTAAGACATAACCTACAACGCCATCATTGGGCGACCCTGGATACACGTCATGAGGGTCATCCTGTCCAGTTTATATCAGGTCATCAAGTTCCCTACCCTATAGGGAATATGCAGCATCCGCAGTGAACATCACACAACTCAAGAATGATACTGCATCACCCAAGATTGCACATACACTCAATAGTTAAGAGAGGAAGGCTCAAGAGCATAGCAATTATCGAAGTCGGGGCCCAAAGCCCGACGAGCAAACAGACGTCGTCAGAGACCCCGACATCGTAGAAGCCACAGGGTCAACAATGGAATACCTCAACCCCGTCCAGCTAGATGAGAGTGACCATAAAAAAAGCCTACATTGGCCACGAACTCACAGAACTAGGTAAATTCTATAAAATTTTAACTGACAACGCCGATCTGTTTGCTTTCTCCCATGCAGATATGCCAGGTATCCCAAAAGACATTGCAACACACAAGTTGAATGTCGATCCACTCTACCCGCCGGTACGACAAATCAGGAGAAAGTTCAATGCCACAATCAATGAGGCCGTCCATGAAGAGGTAGAAAAATTTCTTGCCAACGGTTCCATTCGAGAGTCAAAGTACCCCCAATGGGCCACTAACGTGGTCATGGTGAAAAAGAAAAATGGGGAATGGCACATGTGCGTAATTTTCACAGACCTAAATAAAGCCTACCTGGAAGACTCATTCCCATTGCCTCACATCGATTAGCTCATCGACGCAACAGCGGAGCATGAGTTATTAAGCTTCTTGGATGCCTACTCAGGCTACAACCAGATCCCAATGGAGGACCAAGAAAAACCCACCTTTATCACCCATCAAGGGACATATTGCTACAGAGTAATGCCATTCGGGTTGAAAAATGCAAGGGCGACTTATCAGAGACTAGTAACCAAGATGTTCAAAGACCAACTTGGCAAAATGATAGAAGTTTATATAGACGACATGTTAGTCAAATAAAAAAGAAAAGAGGACCACATCGACCACCTGAGGGAAGCCTTCGACATACTTAGACGATACGACATGAAGCTGAACCCCGAAAAGTGTGCTTTCGACATGACCTCGAGAAAGTTCCTCAGTTTTTGGTATCGTAGAGAGGCATCGAGTTCAACCCCGACCAGATCAAGGCTATAGAGGGAATACCTAAAATTTTGACCAGCAATAAACAAGTGCAGAAGCTGACCGGCCATATAGCCGCACAGAAAAATTATAATTTTTGGAAGCTGGTTTTATTCCTTTTATTACTTCAAGAATGTCACTTAGGAGAAAGAGTTTCAGCTCTATAGTATAAAGAATGTCACTTCAAGAATGTCAATTTTAGTACTTTTCATTTCTTTCTCCATTGTCCAGTAGTTAAAGAATAGAAATAAACTAAACTGGACTATGATCTGATTTATACTACAAGTGGAAGTGCTAGCCATCTACTTGTTGAGTTGAGAAAGAGATCACAAATGCAATTAGGCTTAGACACAGCATATGCTACAAACAACCAACAAATGAATGTGTTAAACTCCCACACTATACCTTTCCATCTTGTTTCTCCCTGAAAGAAAGCAAATATGAAAAAGAGACTAGCCTTTAGTTAACTGTCAAGCATGTAAAGCATGATGGATAACTTATTCATCTATTTGTTGTCTCAACATCTAATAAGAAAGAATGTTACTTTACTGAAGTTAAAACCTTATTAATATGAATTATTTTTATTTTTATTTATTAAAGATTCACATGGAGATACCAAAAGGCTCAAATTGAAGACTAGAGAAGCATTAAGTTTACCTCGGGGAGAACGTGTTGTGGTGGAGTTTGATTGCTTGGATCCGATTTGCAAAGCACAAGGCCTTCTTGCAGGCGTATGTGGCCTTTTAGTAACTGACTGTACCATATTTCCAATTAGCTTTGATAAATGGCCGAATATGCCTAAGTCATACTTTAACGACTGCTTTGATAACATTATAAAGGTATAAGCTCTATATCTTTATAATTATATCTCTATTGTGTCTTTTGTTTTTATATTTGTTATAAAAGATAAACTAACCAAAATTTATTTTTGAAGGCTCATTTCTATTTTATGACCATTGAGGAAGTTGCACAAGGATATGTTTATTGCTCTATTGCAAAGAAGTGGGCTACAAGTAGGAAAAGTTGTGGGATGAGTTTAAAGACCCACTTAAAACCAAAGATGAGATTATAGATAATGTTCCGGTAGGTATTACTCGGGATCAATGGACTTCCTTTGTGAACTACCGTTATAAAGAAGAAACTCAGGTATTTTCTGAAATATCACATTGAAATGCATAAAAATCTGATTATTCATTTATACAATTGACTGAAATGTATCTTATTGTTAGAACATGTGTAAAAGAAATGCTGAAAATTGGAAGAAACAAATAGTTCTCATACCGGTGGCTCTAAACCTAATTCTAGAAGAAAGGTTGAAATGGTGAAAGATGTCACATTATTTACCTTACTTTACTATTTAAATTTTAGATATTGTATCTATTTCTTTTACTTTAATTAAACTATTCTGATTTTTTTTTGTTTTCATACATAGATGGCTGAGACAAGGAGAAAGCATGGACGGGCACAACTTTATCTTGCTACACATAAGAAAAGAGATGAATCATATGTAAATGAGGAGGCAAAAGAAATATGTGTAAGTTAAAATATAAGACCATTACACCTACATCATTATGTTTGTTTCAACCTTTATGTTATGATGTTTTGGTCTAGTCTATTGACTGACTCTCAGTGATGATTCTGTTCATGTTCTCATGTTGACTTGTTTGCCTAAATGATTCTAGTCGGCAGTCTTGTTCATGATACTATATTGCTTTTAACAGCTAAGATAGAATGATCTATGTGTGACTATCATGAAAACTAGAATAAAAGGAATCATATGGTGAACTTTGTTGGCAAAACTTATTCTTGACAACTACAATGCTCAAGCAGATAAGCCTATCGTATGACAGTTTTCATATGACTATCATGAAAACTACAATGTTCAAGCAGATAAGCCTTTCAATATCCAAGTACAAGGACTTATAATGAATCTTTCAGACTTTTATTTTTCTTTGCAGTAATATTTTCAGAATATACTATATGGTAAATATTGATATGACAAATGACGATATAATTTTATCGTTCACACGCTGCTGACTCTTTAAGACTAACTATTCATACTTGTCTCTGCATATATAAACTTCAATGACATATTGCTTCTAACACATGAGGGTATATCAAAATGACAACGAAAGAGAGAAGCTTTCCATATCATATGTTTTACACTTATCTACTGAAACTTGCTCCTTATTTTTAGGAAGTTGTCATGTGTCTAAGTCAATAATGAACTTCTGCAATTGGTTTGTTTGATCTGAAGCCAGATTTTCAGGGAAAGGGGCATATATAAGTACATCATATATACAATAGTTTAATGGCCAGATTTATTAACATTCATATGTTGATGTATGACTTTTCATCTTATTCATAATTTGTAAAGATCCAACTTGCAAATGTTGACATGTTGTGTTATAGTCTGCAGACTACTGTAATTACAGCTAACTGCTTGAACAAAATATCCTATATATTAACAACTAGTTGTGGATTATAGAATATAGCTGAGACAAAGTGCAAGAATAAGTATATTCTGAAAATACTTATGTCATGATTTGTTCTAATAATTAACCTACTTAGAGAAGGTTGTGAAGTGTTGGACCTTTAGGGAGGATGATAAAACAAGTGCATATGCCCAACTTTGTCAACTACTGATGCTCTAGGCTACTGATTGCACCTTATGGCAGGAATTAGATAATTATTGCGAAGCGTAGTAATAACCAATTTATAATGTTGGCTCAGATTTTTTTAATGTGTATTGTGTTTAGAAAAAAATTGAGCTAGCAGTGAGTGAAAGTAAAGTGGATGAATCTGAAATTTCTCCAAATGATGTTGTTGGTAAGGTGCTAGGCAAAGAGCATCCTGGAAGGGTAAGATGTTTGGGATTAGCTGCTACTCCAAGCAATACTTTCAGAGAGACAAATCATCGTCTTGGTAATATTAGAATTGTGAGTAATAATGTTGGATGTTCTTCTTCTGGATGCCAAGAGAAGTACAATCAATTGATGAGTACTCTCAAAGAATATATGATAATGAAGGAAGGATCAATACCAGAATAATTTGTTGGGATCTTTGCTTCTCCTCCTACAACGGTAAATGCTAAGTTCTTTTTATTTTTGGTGTATTGTGTAATTTTATTTTTCATTTGTGAAGTGTTGAGAGTCACTATATAACTGGTGCGACTTTGGAGTTTTGGGACTCCATAGTCACTATGAAAAATCAACAATTTGTCTATCCTTTTCCACCTAACAAGCTGGAGAACCACAATGAATATGTAAGCAGATTGCTGCATAAAATCCTTTCCAATTTAATCATGTACTCATTCCTTCATGTTTTAAATTTGACATGTAAAAATGGCAAGAATATTACAATGTAACAATGTAAATGTAACTTGAATTTTCCTCTAAGGGACCAAATCTAACTTGTGTTTCTGGGCTTTCAAGCAAGAAGCAGATTACTACAATAAATACTACTCTAAACATGTCATACACTAGTAGAAAGAAATTGCATAGAATCTTAATGTAGAGTAGTTACATGACAGAATCCTAAAATAGAATTCCACAGTCTGATCCATGACAAAATTCTCATAAGTAATGTCTTTAGCACAAGATGGCTCAATAAAACTTCAAGTAATATCTCCAAGTGGCAAAGTGTATTTTATTTCTCATTGAGATAATTTTATTTTATCCCAATGACTTGTTTCCTGATACTCCTTTTAATAGTTATATTTTTTTTTTACTTTTTGCTGCAGCCAAGTGATGCAGCTAGTGGACCCGTTTCACCGATGGATGCAAGAAGATCTTCTGGTGCAAGTAATCCCAGTGACAATCATTGAGATTCATTTGAATTGAAGTGGATGTATTAGGACAATGTAATAGCTGATCACTAATATAGATGGTTAACTATGTTCTAATTTAGTTTGAAGACATATGATACTACTGTGTAATAGTATTTTTCACGGTTAATGAAATGTTGACGTTTCTTAATTTTAATATTTTGGTTTAAGCATAAATATTTTAATTGATATTAGGGGAAAAGTATGGCAAATTGATGATAAAAAATTAATTCTATAATATATTTAAAAATAGATGGGGATAAAACCCCCCAAAAAGAAATTACAGATTGCGGGGGTTTACAACCCCTACGCTAAAAAAATTAAATTTAAAAAATAAAAATTTATTTTCGCGCATGAAATTGCGAATGTTAAAATTGAAATTTGCGGAGGTTAGAAACCTCCGCTAATTGCTATCATGGTAGTTCGGGAAACCCCCGCATTTGTCTGCCGCAAATTAATAGGTGGTGATGCATACTGCGGGGGCCTGCTCAACTGCCGTGACAGCAAATAGCGGAGGTTCCTAACCTCCGCAAACTGCAATTTTAACCTCCGCAATTTACTCGTTTTTTTGTAGTGAGAATTGATTAAATTGTTCGAGCCATATCGAACCAATTATTAGTTTTTTAAAAATAAAATTGTAGGTTTCTATGTAAATCTATATTTATAACCACTCGAATATTAGTATATGTCATGACCCAGAATTTCCACCCTCGGGACCGTGATGTAGCCTAATATTTTACTTGCTAGGCAAGCCAACGTTAGATATAGCTATTAACCATTTTTAACAATTCAAATCAAATAAAAACCAATAAGCTGAATTAACTGAAATAGGGTAAATACACTAATAAACAACGATATCCAAATACATTCCCAGAATCGGTGTCACGAATACACGAGAGTACTACAAATAATAGTTTGAATAAAAGCATAACTGTCTGAACCGAAATAAACAGCTAAGGTGATGTAGAAGGGGACTTCAGGGCCATGAACATTGTGCAGTTGTACCTCAAGTCTCCGTCAAGAATTAGATCCGAGCAAATCTACTGAACGCTAGTAGGACCTAATATGAACTCTGCATAAGAAGTGCAGAATATAGTATGAGTACAACCGACCTCATGTACTCTGTAAGTGTTGAGCCTAACCTCGACGAAGTAGTGACGAGGTTAAGACGGCCACATACAATAACCTTACGCAGTAATGATAATAATAACAGGGAAAGAAAACATGAATGAAAGTAAAGCAGTTAATTTATGAAAACAAACTCAACCTCACAATCAAAGAATCCAGAATGTCAGACCTCATAATCTCATATAAAAATGCTGAAGACTAACACAATAACAACAACGAGTACAACACACACAATTCGTTGTGGCGCGCAACCCAATCCCATCGTACATACACAATCCTCTCTTATTTCACCTTAGCATCATTTATCAATATCAAGACTCACATATACAATCCGTTGCAGCATGCAACCCGATCCCACCATGTCATCATAATCAATATCACAATCCTCCATTATTACACCATATCATCATTTATCAATATCAAGTATTACGTACACAACTGTTGCGGTGTGTAACCAGATCACACTGTATCATCAGAATCAATGTCATAATCCTCTCTTATTACACCATATCACAATAATTACAACGTACATCCCGATCCATAAACAATTTCAATAAATATAATCAATCCAATAGCTCAATTTATAAGAATCTCTACAATTAAAGGATATAAAAGTAAAACAATAAAGGAACCACGTACTAATCAAAGGAATGCTACAAATAATACAAAAGCAACAACACAAGTCAAGTACGTGACAATTAAGATGTACAAATAAGACAATTAAGACAAGTAGCAATTAATCACGGAGTCATACAAGGGACGAACAATTCAATACAAGAATAATTAATGACAAGTAACAAATTACGACATAGAAAGCAATTAAAGCATGTAACAGTAAAGGCATGGAATGAGATAATTCATGAAATACGAGAAAGATATGAAAACAATTATTTTGACGGCATATATACCGTCGTCACCTCACACATACACCGTTTCACACGTAATTCACATAACATATAGTTTAAGGGTTCCTAATTCCCTCAAATCAAGGTTAGACCCAACACTTATCTCGTTCTACAATCCAATCAAAGCTCAACCGGGCCTTTCTCTAAAATTCGCCTCCAAACTAATGGAATCTAACCAAAATCGATTAATATCATCAAATAATGCTAGGAAAATCAATTATAATAGATAAAACTAAGATCTTTATATTTTTTTCAAAAAGTCAACAAAAGTCAATCTGGGGCCTATCTGGTCAGAACTCGGGTCCAATAGTAGATTTAGGATATCCATGACCCCACGAGTTCATATATGTGATTAGTTTCAAAATTCGAGTCCAAATCGACTCTCAAAATTCAATTTCTTAT